GGCTTGCCATGAGGAGACAAATTTAGAAACAGTATTATCTCTTATTAAGGCTGTTAGCTTTGCCATTTGAGCCAAGTCCATTAGTTTAATAATTCACTTTTCCACTGTCGGTATTTGTAAGTCTTTCCATCTTTGCGCATATAACAGTCTTGCAGCTGTGATCATATATAAAAGCAAAGATCCATATTGTTTCTCCAGTCCTTTCTCCATCAAATCCAGTAAGAACAATTCTGGTTTTTTTTTTTAATATTCACTAAGAATCTTTTGAATAGCAATCCATATCTGGTCCCAAAATTTTTTAGCCTTTTCACAAGTCCACCAAAGATGATAAAAGGTTTCTTCACCCTGTGAACATTTCCAACAAACATTTGTTATACCAGTATACATTTTTGATAACTTATCAGGAATTAAATACCAGCGGTATTTAAATAAAATAAAAATTCTCTTTCAAATTATAATTCCCAGGAGTTTGTATGCTAAGCATCTGATAAGACATGGATGTGCCTCTCTCCCGCATAATGGCTTCTTCAGTTCTCTTTCATTGACACTGGCTCTAACTTTTTTATAGCCTTCTTTTATACTTCATGACAGTCTTTTTCTAAACATCACCTCTGACCTAAAGCCTTTCCCCAATGACTGATCAGCAAGAACTATATACTTTCCCAGAATTATTTCAATTTCCTTTTATTTTTGTGTACAAGTGCTAAGCATTGGCAATTCCAATTCTTGCTCAGGACGACCCCTGGAGATTCCCAGCACAGATAGTCTTTGGAAATTATTATAAATATAAATATTGGGCTGTATTTATTTCTCTACAGTGTATGTATATGTGGGGGGGCGGGGAGTGCCTTCTGTTGGTTATTAAATGCTTTTGAGAAAAACAAGCAATGGGGGTAATCTTAGAGGATATTGCATGGGTGGATTTGACCTGCTTCTTAATAGTGGATCTTCTTATTCAACTTTAGCACTAGGAGGCCTCTTCAGCCAGCCTGCTCAAGCCCCTGCACAGTCCAACCAGCTGATAAACACAGCAAGTGCTCTTTCTGCCCCCACCCTCTTGGGAGATGAGCGAGATGCCATTTTGGCCAAGTGGAATCAGCTGCAGGCATTTTGGGGCACAGGCAAAGGGTATTTCAACAATAACATTGCCCCAGTGGAATTTACGCAGGAAAACCCATTCTGCAGATTTAAGGTAGGATGTCTTTCTTTCATCTTTCTATCTGGATTGAAAGATTTGGTTGGTTAGTTGTGAGTGAGCTGTTCCATCTGCTGGGAATTTAGAGATAATCTTCTCTGTCAGTACAGTGTTAAATTTTAATGCCTCTTTAGTGCTGTGTTGATACACAAAAAGAATAGGCATCTTTTGGGCAACTGAAAAGACAATTGTCTCTTTACAGGCTGTGGGCTACAGTTGCATGCCCAACAATAAGGATGAAGATGGCTTGGTGGCACTAGTCTTCAATAAAAAAGAAACAGAGATTCGAAGTCAACAACAGCAGCTTGTGGAATCATTGCACAAAATCTTGGGTTCAAACCAGACGCTTACTGTCAATGTAGAAGGTGTAAAGACAATGCCAGATGACCAGTAAGACAATTAGATAGTGTATTTTATCTCCTTCTATCTTTAAACTGCCTGAGATTTCCCAGGCCAAGACTAAACTTAAGATCTCTTGTGCTGGGTGGTCCCCTGATAAAACTCTTCCTCATTGATTTGTCCTCTGCCCGTCTGCTCAATAGTCTGGTTCACACCACACACTGAAGCATAACACAGTGCATTTGCTTTTGGCTGAATGCATTGTGTGAACTCCATTGTCATTATTTGTAAGCCATGGCTCAGGTTTAGTGTGTTATATAAAGAGAGTCAATTGTAGTTTATTCAGTAAATGCTGGTTGAACTATAACTTAGCTGCAGATGTGTGGAACCTGTTCATTAAGTGCTACTTCTCATCTGTTGGCCTCCCTGGTAGTAAAAAGTAAAATTCATCCAGAAGTTTTACATTTTGCTTCTCAAAACAATGGGAATGGAGTAGGGAGACATCTTGCTTTCTTAAAAGTTCAGTATGTTGAAGTTTGTAGCATGCCATTTAACACCAGATAACTACAGAATTAAAAAATCTTCACTATGTCAAATCTGAATCCTTTTACCGATCTTATAGAACAGAAATAGTGATCTATGTTGTTGAACGGTCACCCAATGGGACGTCCAGGCGAGTTCCAGCCACCACCCTCTATGCGCACTTTGAACAAGCAAACATCAAAACCCAGTTGCAGCAGCTTGGAGTAACCCTCACCATGGCCAGGACAGAACTCTCCCCAGCACAAATTAAGCAGTTGCTACAACATCCTCCTGCAGGTAACCCAGGCTTTGGATGGATGATCAAGCATTCTGTTGTACAAGAGAGTGAATGAATGGTTATTTTTACGGAATGAATGTTTGAGCAATTCTTGGAGAGAAGGCTGATGTGGGTCTTCCGGGCTGTTTGAGCGATTCTTGGAGAGAAGGCTGATGTGGGTCTTCTGGGCTTCTTGGAGAGAAGGCTTTATTAAGGAAGAGAGATAGCTCAGTAAACAGGATTTAGGACTCAGTCCTTTTGATTCTGATTTTATGTGCAATTTGGAAAGAGTCCTAAGTTGGAAATAGTCTTCTCACTAAATCCCTGTAAGGTAGTTTGCTTCTAATTAATAAAAATCCATTCCCTGTGTTTGTGTTACATTTAATTTACAGTAAGAGAAATTCTATCATTCAGTTGTCTTTGACTCATTAAAAAGAAACTCCATTTGTTTGTTTGTTTACACGATTTATATGGCCTTTCATCTCACAGAAGTGACTTTAGGCAGCATGCAAAGACACACACGCACACACATACACAGAACCCATAACATACAACCCCTGGTACTCAAAAGGATTTGGGGTTTGTTACATGAATGAGTCACAGAAAAGTGATTAGGTTTGCTTATACAGTGGTACCTCAGTTCACGAACTTAATTCATTCCACGATTCTGAATTGGTCACGAACCAAATCAAATTTCCCTATAAGGTTCAATGTAAATAAGGTTAATCCATTCTGAACCATATGCTGCTG